AGTTTTCGTATACGTTTTTTGAATATAGCGCCCCTTTGGATATAACGCCCAGGCGTACATTCAAACAGAAGGCGCAGGCGATATATTTGAATGTGGTATTGGCAGAATGCCTTGTAGGGGAGGGGAAGGGGGGGGTCAAGGGGGTTGAAAGGAGTTTGGGGTGTGCTTTAGCTTCACTTTTCTAGTTTGTTAAACTTTGTTTCTTTATCTTCCAATTTAGCTTCCAATTGATAAGGAACTCTGAAATGGTCCTCAGCCAAAAGTTGGTTTCATTGCAATCTACACAACATATTTATTTGCAATCACATGAAAGCACTAAATTTTCAAAATGCAAGATCTCATAGAAGATCAAGCATGATTGAGCCGAGTTGAAAGCAGAATACAAAGAAAGCCCACTTCTCACATCCAATAATCAGTACAACAACAATGTGGTAGCCCTACCACGATGTGTCCGCCTTACTCTACTCCCTAATCCTACACACGCTACTCTACTACTCCCACTCTCGGTGTCTACTTGTCACTTGCTGAATGCTGCTCGAAGAGTCTGCTCACACAAGCTGCCCCTCGTCAACACCAGGTGAGACCCGCCGGTTCCCAATGACTTCCTCCACTTCCTAACCACTCCACACCTCGCCACCCTGCTGCCCTGCTTAGTGCTGTGCAACTATGGCAGGCGCTAGCCCAGCAGCCACCGCTGTTGCCTCCTCCTGCATAGGTGCACAGGCTGCAGTGCGCTACTTCAGTGCTGCCAGAATCCTGCCACTGCCCGAATTTCCTCTCCCCAGCAGCCTCCCTCCGTTTGCCTACCTGGAGACAGTATTCCAGTCACAGTAGGCAGTGCCCACTGCCCGCTGGTCTGAGTCTGGGTACCAGCCTCTGTAACCAACTGGAGGCTGGGCCTACCGTTTAGTTACAGGGGATGGTGCCTTTCTCAGGCCCAGGAATTTCTCCCCACTGCCCTTCAATTCGGGCCAGTGTCATTTTCTCAGGCCCACCTTCACTTAGGTGGACTGGCCTTCTTTGGGGCACGCCGAGGCCTGGAGCATCACACTCCCACCTCCTTAGGTTCAAGAGCCCTTTGATAAACGTTTCACTCTTGCCGTTTCCTCCATTTAAGAGCCCTCTCATAATGTAGAACCACTTGAGGTGCAGACTTACTTAGCTCTCCCTGGTGAACCACTTCTGTTATTGTTTTACCTGTGTCACATATTTCATACACTTCAAATTCTGCTGTTTATTGCTGTGTTCATGTGCTCTTGATGTATCAAAGAGCTACTGAGGGAATTGCCTGTGTTATGATCCTGGCTATCTTGCAGTGCAAAAACTCAAAGAAAGACAACACTGTTCAATTGCAACTGAAGAGAAATAGACAAAGGGAGAGGAAGAAATACAAATGGACGTAGAAGAAATAAGACAATTAAGAACAGATGGCTAAAGTTAACTGGTCAGATGCCAGTCGGATATCACAAATACCATGGAAAGAACTCAAAAGTCAAAACAATCCGGCCTGTCAAAACCAGGAGCCTCCAATGGCTCATCTCCAAAGTGGCTCTACCAGTCAACCAATAGTTGCATATCAGAAGAAGGAAAACCAATCCTAGCAGCTCGGACTTATCTATGGGTAACCAGAAACCATCTCCCCTCCCCTCAAGACTAAATGGATCATCTGACCTTTGGGACTCCCTTTTCCCTACCCAATTCCCCGAACACCCCCTCCAACTCCTCCTATGGACTAACATCCCTGCTCACTTCTAGAAGACAGAGAGGATGTGGTTCGGTATTTTCAGAAAGGTGACACTTCGGTCTATATGGAAGGAAAGGTGCTGCAGAATCCCTGCTCACTTCTAGAAGACAGAGAGGATGTGGTTCGGTATTTTCAGAAAGGTGACACTTWGGTCTATATGGAAGGAAAGGTGCTGCAGAACTCTTAAAGGTCTCTCCACTTCAAGAGAGAGTGTTCGGGTGGCTACAAGGCCATTGATTCAGGCTGAGATTTTACGCAAGTGGCAGGAAACAAAGCATTCTATGTTGGACGAGTTGGACCTGCAGCAGAAGATCAAAGTTAAATTTTCAAGGGTATGGCTGGTGGGAGGCAAGGTAGCAGAAATAAAGGACTCCGGTATATGGTGGAAAGACTAGCACAATTCAGATGCGGGGCTTAGAAGGCAGAGGTCCCAGTCAGCAGACCGGCAGGACCCAGTACAGGCCACATAAGCTCAACGGCATGCAGAGAGGAGATTGGCTAAAAAGCGATCAACAACCTACAAGATCAGAGTCCAATGGGGCCTTTCCGACCAGTCCAGGGATTTTGGATTCCTTACCTCATAGTCATTTCTTGGTTTCACGTTAAATTTGGCAGGTTTGACCGTTTAGGTAAATAAACCTGAGAGGAAAGGTAGAGGGAAGGCAAGGTGACAGTCAATCCTCCAGTCATCTGGAGCAATCAATGCTGATCAGGGGTCCTTCGGCCAAATGGAAGGAGGCATGATGGTGTTCTTGTTGTATTGCTGACTTGCCGGTGGAATCAGAAGCGGCCTGATGCTCCCCAGAATGGATACGGAGCCAGGGCCGTAAGGACCTGTTCTTTTCATCTTTCTTCCCCCCCCCCAAAAAAAAAGAAAAACAAAAAAAAGCCTATAAGACGATGAACACCAGCAAGGAGCAATGTCCATTCCCCCTTCAACGCACCACCATCTTCATCCTCCAACAACTTCGCCAACCTCTGGCTAACAACAATAATGATAATAAGAATGAAAGAATGAACCGGAACCAATGTCTGAGGCCCTTACTGCCAGCCACTCAAGAAGTCCATAGCCATCCCACACCTCCTTCTAAATGGTCTAGCTGGTGGCTATGGAGGACCATCAGAGTGAAGCTCTGATGTTCAGAGGGCTATGCAAAGCCACTGTGCCTCACCTCCGGAGTCTTCCTTCCAAATATTACCCCACTTTGGGCCTTCCAGGTGCAGCGCCAACCAAGAAGATGAAGATGCACACCACCATAGCCAGGTAAGCCCCCTCATCACTCTCCTCCTTTGTCACCATTTTCCTCCTCCTACTCGTTCTCCGCCAGATGATCCTCTTTGGTCCTCTCCAACATAGCCGGGGTGGTAGGCCAAGGGCGCCTTCTTCCTCACCCAGCACTGCTTCAGCTGGGTGCCCGCTCCAGCAACGTGCCTCGAAACTGCACACCCCCAAAATGAGATGGAGTACTTCGCCTCCCAGTTTGGTACACCGACAAAGTGCCTCCTTGTGCGGTTGCTTCAAGGCTGCGCGGCCTCCAAGTCTACCCGGTACCTTCCACTTTTGGAGGGAAACAACATTGCAGTCTGATATCCCCTCCTGCAGGCTCTAGACTCAGGCTACTTGGACCAGTGCCTCCCTTTCTAAGCCTACCGGACTCAAAATCCTACTTCGGCCTACAAAGGTACTAACTTTTTGTCTTCTTCTGCCTACCTACACTAGCGTTTTCTGCCTATGCCAGCCTACCCTACTCTAATTCCCCGCTGTGCCCGCACAACCACACAGCACAACCACACAGCCACAGGTAACTACCAGGCGCGTGAGCCTTCCCAGCGCACAAGTACCATAGCAGGTCACACACACACACACCCATGCAATCATGCAGACAGGAAAACACACTGAAACTCAGCAATCACGCACACACACAAACTTAGAAACCTCAGCAGAATATGGGAATCTCAGCTCAAACAAGCGGCAAAACTCAGAAAACAGCAGGTTTCTCAGTCTGCGATTTCACAGGTCATTACACCTGGCATCTGTCCGTTGCCCAGTCTCCTTCCTCCCATTTGACTTCTCCCCTGAGACGAGTCCTCTACTCTCAGGAAATGCTTTCTAAAACGTTTTCCAGGTTTGTCTCCAGGTTATAACATCCTTTGAGCTGGCTCTGTAGCCCTGCCATGACCTACCATCATTTTTCCCCGTCCTTCCATAGGTGTTCCATTTTCCATATACCGTTTGACCTCCTCCAGCATGTGTTCTTACTTGTGAAAGCCCAAGGTTTTTCATTTGGATCTAGTAAGAGTTGGCGAATAGGGGCTGCATGAGGAATTTTTATTTTGCCTTTGGCATCCTGATTCTTTCTGTGAATGCTTCTCTCCATTGTGGATTAGTGTCACCCAATGTTTGCTGGGCCGTAGAGTCAGTGTCAAGGCTGCAAGCCTGCAACCCAAAAAAAACGAGTCAAGAGTCAAAACCCCACATAACTGAAGTGTCCACAACCACAACCAATAAACCATGTCTCAAAGGAACACTACCTTCTACCGCCGAACATAACGCATATGTGTTGTATTCGAGTTTTCAAATTTGAGAAAAAAAAGGATAGAACGCATATGCGTTGTACTCGAAATTTAGGGCTATTCGAATAGAACACATATGCGTTGTATTCGAATAGAACACACCCTATGCGTTGTATTCATTTACAATCAATATGCGTTATGTTCGGGGGAAGAATGTAGTCCTAACTCCTGGGCTACTTTTGCTCTTTTGCTCCTTGGCTGCAGGAATAAAACAGCAAAGAGGGAGGAGGGCAGAGTGGGTAGACGGAGCAAAAGGGGAGGAGGGCAGGGAGAGATGGGAGATAGCAGCCAAAAGGCGTTAATGGCAAGAGAAAGAAGCTTG